GGTTCTGGAAAGTCCTTGAAAGGTTCTTGAATTTGATGTTGACCAAGGTGTGGGAACCCTGTCTTATCTTATTGTTGTAATTTTTTAAGCTTTTCTTCTTTTACTTGGAGTCAACATCAACTTACAGTGAATTATTTTATTTTATATATTTTTAAAGATGTTTTTTGACTTGACAACATTACAAATCTAAATGAACCAAAAAGAGGCAACAGAAAAATAAACCTCAAACTGAACTTGGAGTTTCCTCTCCTGTCCTAACTGCCTCAGAGCTTTGGGACGGGGGAGGGGGCGTCACCTGCTGCAAGACTGCTGAATGATTAGTGCTTTTCACGTGCAGCCCATAAAAGTCTCCAAACACAAGAAAATTATCTAAATTGGTCAAAGTCGCTTAAAAAAGGTGTTAGAAAGATCTGAAAACTGGCTTGTTTCTGTGGTCTGTGTTGATGGTGTGTTCATGGATCCAAAAGAAATCTGATTTTTCAGGATTTAACATTTAAAAATCTTTTTTTCTTTCCTATTTGGTGAAAACCAGTTGATACCGGTTTCAGGCCAGTTGCTTGGTGCATCCCTAAATAAAAAAACTTTGTGAAGTACAAACAACTAATCACATCAATTTGAATGGCATTGTTTGTGGTTTGAGAGCWTGATAGAGTGAAAACACTGAACAACTGTGTGTTTTTTTAGGTATAAAAATATTCGTTTTGTGTGTTTTTTTTAATTTTTCAGGTGACTGTCATGCACTCCATGCAAGCAGGTTATCTGGAGAAAGCGCAAAAGTACACAGACAAGGCTCTTATGCAACTAGAAAAACTTAAAAGTGAGTTTCAATCATTATGTCTTGGCTGCCTTTATCGTATTCAGTTGAGCTGTTTTTTTTTAACTGTACAGGAATAATCAAGAAATGTAKTTATAGTTTTCATTTGATTTTGTTCCCAGTGTTGGACTGCAGCCCCATCCTCTCTACCTTTCAAGTYATTCTGCTGGAGCACATCATCATGTGCCGACTCGTTACAGGCCACAAAGCTACAGCATTACAAGAGGTACTTTGTTTCTCTTACCATGATCATCTCCCAAATTTGATCCTTTTAAATAAAATACGTTCAAGATAATAATATAACCAGTTTCAGCAGCCCTTGAACCCTCATCTTGTCAAAATACTTGACTTTTGTTTGTGTGTGTCCAGATCTCACAGGTTTGTCAGCTGTGCCAGCAGTCCCCGAGGTTATTCACCAACCATGCTGCGCAGCTTCACACTCTATTAGTGAGTATTGTAAAGCAAAGCTTTCTTTTATTTGTTGTGTAATCTCATCTAATAGTAATCAATGTCTGGATGAGACTGCAGCTTAAAGCTCCTCTCAGACATAAACTGGTTCCTTTTCAGTCATTACACTCAGTACAACACACAGTTGTATATGGGACACGCACGCCCATGCGCGCCTGGCTGAAGCCACCTCTAATCACGTCTTTAGACCGGTGATGTGGTGACGTTGAACGTCTGGTGACAGGCTCCGCCTTCACCCTATAAGTTCGGAGTCACCAGCGTCATTACTCAGTCCTATTGCCCTTATCCTCGCGATAGTCACCTCTAAACCTGAGCTCACATAGCTGCTGCT